ACGGGTACTGCAACATCGACTGGCTGGTGGCGGAAGAGATCACGCAGCTGGACACGGGGCTGTGGAACGACTGCGTCTCCATGAACCGGAAAATCAAGTTCCTGCTGCTCGGCGACTTCCGCCAGTTCCCCGCCATCATGGACAACTTCGCAGGCGCCCCGGTGCTGCGGGAGCTCAAGCACTGCCAGCTGCTCCACGACCTCACCGGCGGCTGGCACCACGAGCTCACGGAGAACATGAGGAGCGACTCGGGCATTTTTGGCTTCCTGACCTGGCTCCGCGTCGACGAGCCCCGGGAGCAGTCCCTGGCCGAGGCAATTGAGGCGGCCCGCCGCGGCAAGGCGAGGCGGACGTCAGCCTGGTCATCTCCCACGCCCGCCGCATCCGAATCAACGCCCGCGACAACCGCCGCCTGGCCCCTCCGGAAGCTGTCACGATCGAGTTCACCGGCACTGGCCCGGCGACCACCAACATGCCGCAGACCATGCGGCGGGCCTGAAGCTCATCGGGGCCGGCGGCCGCGTCGCCAAGGGCATCTACGTGCACGTGACCGAGGTGTTGGACGGCGGCGAATCCTTCACCCACGCCGCCCTCCTGAAGCACACCCGGCTGTGCCACGCCATCACCTACGCCTCCTGCCAGGGCCTGACGCTCGAGGGGCGGGTCTTCCTGTGCGACACCGAGAGCCCGCACTTCAACCTCAGGCACCTCTACGTCGGCACTAGCCGGGCCACGAGCAGCGAGCTCCTGAGCGTGCTCTAGAAGGGGCAAACCGGACCGGCGGCCTCGTAGGCTTTGAGCTGCAGATCGGTCACCTCGAGCAGTAGGCCGCACTGGTTGGACATCACCCACACCTGGCGCTGCTCGCACCGCACCCTGCACTCCCTGCCGGCGAGGTCGCCGGGCTCCGCCAGCTCCTCCTGGTTGGGCCCCCAGATGCGGACTCGCCCCCAGTCCATCTTCAGCTTGAGGTACGAGCCGCCCCGCGGGCTCGTCTTCAGGCACGATTGGAAGCGGTCCTTCACGTCCGTCTCGGTCAGAAACTTCGGCTCAGAAAGCGACAGCGCCGTCAAGGCCCTGACGAGGCGCTGCTCGATCTCCTGGAGCTGCGCCTTGGAGGCCTCGTCGGGCTCCAGGCACAGACCCACGCGCTTGGCACTCGGGTCGTTGAAGGCGGCCGGGTGCCAGATGATCTTCTGCCACTCCGCCGACTGCCACACCGGCGGACCGCCGTTCCGGCGCAGGGGGACGTACTTGCCGCCCTTCGCATTGATCGTCAGATCGCCGAGCTGAATTGCCGATTCGCAGGTGGCTTGCTTTTGCGGCTCCATGCTGCTCCTTTATACATGTAACATAAAAAATGCCGTCGCCCGAACGAATCTGCGCGGCCGTCGCCCTGGCGGGCGTCTTTGTCGGCCTGTGGCTTTTGTCATCGCCACACGAAAATGCGTCTGTTGGAGTTGTTCAGCGGCACCAAGTCGGTGGGCCGTGCCTTCGAGGCCCTTGGTTGGGAGGTAACGAGTGTTGACACGGACTCGACGACTCGGCCCACCATCTGCGCCGACATTCAGGAGTGGGACTACAGGACCTACCCGCCCGAACACTTCGATTTTGTCTGGGCCTCCCCCGTCTGCACGGAGTTCTCCAGGGCTCTGACCCGACGACCCCGACGGCTGGAGGACGGCGACCGGCTGGTCCTGAAGACCATCGAGATCATCGGGTACCTCCGACCTCGGTGGTGGGCCGTGGAGAACCCGCAAACGGGCCTGCTCAAAAGTCGGCCCTACATGCAGGCGCTGCCTTACGACGACGTGTCCTACTGCATGTACGGCTTTCGGTACCAGAAAACCACCCGAATCTGGAACAACCTGCCTTGGGTTCCCAGCCAAGCGGTCTGCTCCAAGCACGGCCGCTGCGAAGCTTTCCGGGACGGCCGGCACCCCGAAACCGCCCAGAGGCAGGGCAGCCGGCACTGACCCGGCCAGACCCGGGACCAGCTGTACTCCCTGCCGCCCCGACTTTGCCAGGAGATCGCGGAGAGCCTGTAAATGGGAAAGGTGAAGCTCTTCCCGACCGCCGAGTACACCTCAAAACAGCCTCGCGACCCGATCGTCCCCCGCGTGCCGTGCACGGGCATCTTCCTCGGGCCCTCGAAATCGGGGAAGACGGTGGCTCTGATCTCAGCCATCCTGGACCAGTACCGCACGGCCAGCGGTGAATCCGTTTTTGAAAGAGTGATTATCATGTCTCCGAGCATTGACATCGACGATGCCTGGAAGCCCGTCAAGCATTTCATCGAGCACGACATGGGCGTCAACACGGACCGGGAGCAGGTTTATTTCGACAAGTGGGACGAGGCGGCCCTGCGCACCATCATCCAGCAGCAGAAGAAGATCACCCGAACCACGAAGGAGCTGGGCTTCAAGAAGCTCTACCAGATCCTGATCGTGATCGACGACTTCGCGGACCAACCGGAGCTCGCTCATCAGCGCCGCCGTGCCGGTGAACATGCAGTTCATGTGCGTCTGGCGCCTCCGCAACCAGCTCGAGCTGGAAGCCGTCCTGGAGGAGCTCACGGCCCTGCTGCCGAAAAAGGAGCTGCAGGCCATCTACGAAGAAGCGACGAGGGAGCCCTACAGCTTCCTCTTCATCCACTACCTGAAGCCCCGAGCCGAAATGTTCTACAAGCGCTGGGAGGAACGCTTCGTGATCGAAAATGGGGACGATCCTGAGCCAAGTGGTGGGCAAACTGCTGGGGGGCAGCCCGCTGTGCGAGAGCGAGTGCCACAACATCAGGTGCTGCAGCAGCAGCGGCGTGTATGACCCGCGGCGGCTGCCCTACCCGGAGCGGGCGCGGCAGATCAGCAACGAGTCCGACGCCTCGACGGCGCGGAGCTTCTGGCGACGTAAGAAAAGGATGTCGACAACGATCTATGTCGATAGTCGCAAGAGAACCGCCGGGGACGACTCCAGCTTCGAATTTGACATCGGGGAGACCCTCCACCTGCAAACGGGAGCCAAGCTCTCCGTCTTCAAGTTCAGGGTGGCGGATGCCTTTCTCTCCACGGATCGGGGACAGTACTTGTACTGGATCGACGAAGCGCTGCAAACCCTCAACTGGGCGGTGCTCCCCATCGGGGCCTACACGGGGTCGCGACTGGCCGCCTGGATCAGCAGCAACTTCGCGAGCGCCACCTATGTGGAGCAGACGAATGAAATAGGCGTGGCCTACGACGGCAACCGCCGCATTTTGAACGACCAGCAGATCCGGAGCCTCTTCCCCGGCACCGGTTCTTATCCCGCCGGCGCCACGCCCAGCCGCCCGCTCTCCATCAACCACTTGCTAGGCCCCAGCTTCATCGATGGGGCGCTGCAGATCTTCACCTTTGTCACCATGAATCCCTACAGCGAGCTATTCCTGCGCTGCGCCACCTTGGCCACCGGGGCGGATATCAAGGGGCCTCTGGGCAATGATATCCTTTGCAAATGCATTATTAACGCTGGCCTTGGTTTTGTGATGTCCACCCGAACAGACGAGGGCCATTTCGTGAAACTCCACGGGCCCATTACCCTGCGCACCCTGCGGTTTAAATTGACAGACGTCGACGGCAACACGGTTAATACCCGCGGGACCAGCGTTTCTTTTGCGATTTTTCTGGATTACGAGAATTAATATGTTTAATCTAGGAAATGGCCGAGAATGCGGAACCCCCCGTGGCTCTGGAGCCTCTGGCTGAGCCTGCGCCAGAGCCTGCGGCAGCTGCAGAGCAGCCTCCTCCGCAACCCGTGCCGGAGCCGCCGATCCCCGCCGAGCCCCCAGCCCCAAAGTGCCGAGGCCTCCCGCCCGGCTCCAAAAACAAACCGAAGCCGCCGAGGACGGTGCCCGCCGAAGAGGCCGTCCCAGCACAAGCTCCCGAGCGTGCTGCCCCCGATCCTCCTCCAACGCGAGCAGTTCCTCTGCCGAGGGCTCAGCCCGAGCCCCCCGCGGAGCCCGTCAGGATGACGCCTGCGCAAGAGCGTGCCCTAAGGTACATGCAGCGCCAGGACTGGTACATGGAGCTGCTCGCACGAAACACTCACGAACTGTAAAAGGATGATGCCCCTCGAGAGGCGCAACGAACCGCAAATGCTGCGGCAGTTCAGCCGGATGTATCCCAGCTATAACCTCAATCCCCTGCTGCGCCGGCGGCACCAGCAGCTGGTCGAGGCGCAGGCCTTCTTTCTTTATTTCTCCAACAATCATTCCAACAGATATTCCCACGAAAAGGGGAAAATGTGAATATGTGAAATTGAATCCGAAATATATTGAATATGAAGTTGCAGTCACTCGCACAACCCTTGCTTCATTTTACTCTAGAGCGCGGGGACTTCAGAGCACGTCAGCGGTGCATGCACAAACACAAAGGCAGTACACGATGAAGGGCTCTGCATCGTGAAACAACAAGGGTCGCACACCTCGTCGTCACACAACAAACAGAGCTCTCCTCATCACCCGGGCGGGTGGGCGGGGCAAAATTTTGCCGGCACTCCCTCCTTGAGAGAGTAGTTGCTGCACGTTCGAGCAGTTCACAAAATTTTGCAACCACCAGGAAATAAAACATGTGTGAAAATCGTGAGACCACAATGCCAAGACAATGTGAGAAAATCTGTCTGCGCGCCCGACATGAGAAATGTACGTGCGCGCGTGAAATGATGTGGCGAAATAAGGTGTTCGCCAGGCAAGCTGGAGATAGCACTTATTTCTCCAACAATCATTCCAACAGATATTCCCACGAAAAGGGGAAAATGTGAATATGTGAAATTGAATCCGAAATATATTGAATATGAAGTTGCAGTCACTCGCACAACCCTTGCTTCATTTTACTCTAGAGCGCGGGGACTTCAGAGCACGTCAGCGGTGCATGCACAAACACAAAGGCAGTACACGATGAAGGGCTCTGCATCGTGAAACAACAAGGGTCGCACACCTCGTCGTCACACAACAAACAGAGCTCTCCTCATCACCCACCGCCGACTGAGAGCTCTGGCAAGAAGCACTGCAAAGCGAGACTGATGGACTGCAAATCAATCTCGTCGCGGCGAACACCCGCCAAGTGACTACAATCATCACGCGAGGGGCCATCAGCAATGTTCGCAGCACTGCTCACCCTTGCGAACCATGGGAACGAGGAGGCACGTTCCTCCCAATCACTCAACCATTCCGACAGGGCTGAGAAGTGCACGCAAGGAGATTTGCCAGCAATGAACGCAGACTTGGCTGCTTCATTATCGACGAAGCAAACGGCCTCAGAGCCTTGCACAAGGCTGTTCCACACGTGCAGCGCGACCACTACTGCCAAGCCTTCAAGAAAGTAGATGGGGCTCTGAACATCGCCAAACCTGAGGCCCTCAAGTGCATCGTCGTTAAACAAGCAACTGAAGAACCTAATGGGCTTCCCATCAGGTGCAACCAGTACCCCTCCTAACCCACAACTGTTCGTTTGGCCATCACCGTAGGCCGCATCAGTGAAGATGAACCAAGCGTTCTCACGTCTCGCGGATATTACCCTAGGGGGAGCACCTACAACCCTATCCTTAAGGAAAGTGAGGGCTGCCTGCAAGTCGGGATCCATGGCGGACCCCCCAATGAAATCTGCGCGCCGCGACAAAAGCTGCATGAACCTGCCGCTTCGTCGCCCATGGATCTGACCCTCAACGAACTGCAACCTCCCCCTCAGCGATGTGAGCTCATGTTGCTCCACCCACTCGAGACCGAGTAAGCGCGTGATGGTCTCGTCAAGTTCGGCCTTTCGCTCGGGGGTGTTCTCCACCACGAAGACTCTCTCGGACTGAAAGCAAATTTTGACTCCAAGAGCTCTCGCAAAGTAATCAAAATCGGATTCTTTGTCCCGTGCCACGGTCCATCCAAGCAAGTCCCAAAAGCAATTGAGAACCATGTCAAGGTGTTTCGTGGACGACGCCTCGTTGAGGACGATAAAGTCGTCGTAAAACACCGTCCAGTGGATCAACAACAGAGCGCACCCTAAGTGCCACAATCCCATCGTGCTGCGGCAAAATGCCGCGACTGAAGCAGATGATCCGAAGGGCAGCACATGGCAGGCGTAGATGGATGGTTTGCCCGTCTCCGGGTTCGGCACACACAAGAAAGAATCCTGTATGGCGTCAAGGGAAATGCCGAGTTGCTTATACGCTTTATGCAGGTCTATGATTTTAAGTTTTGGCACGCTGGCACGGCCGAACCTCTCACGGACCCTAAGTCTGTAAGCGATGCCCGCACAAACCACATCCAAGCCGTGAGGTTGAATCGACTCGGTGCGGGAAACAGTCGAGTTGATAAAGGATTCCGACAGGTTGTCGATGGGCCTGACTTTGCGCTTCCCACCGGACCGCTGCTCAACTCCGAACCGTCTGCTCAAGGAACAAGTCTCGCTCAGTTGCTCAAGTGGCACGGGCCCTTCGAGCCACCCGCGGTCTACCTCTTCCTTGGTAATGTCGTGAACCTCCTGCGCGAGCTCGGATGAGCACACACGTTCGGTGGCGCGAAGAATGCCTGCACGGACTGCGCTGGCAGCGGCACGCAAACACTCCTTGATCATCGACGCCGGCTCCACAACGGGTTTGAAGAGCCCATCCGACGCAGGAATCGGACCTGTCAAGTCGAAGCCCTCCCCAATTTCGGACGCAATTGAAGAGTCGCCATACCCACATGCGACGAGCATCTCGCCGAAGACCAAAAGCCGCTTTCCCTTGAGGACGGCCTTAAGGTGTTTCGGCATTCTTTCATGGAGAGCCCTTTCCTGCGGAGCCAGCTCCTGCGCTCGAAGCACCCATCGCCTAAGGACCTCGGTGCGGTGTTGCGCTAGGCCCACTTCTGACTGCTCGACAGTTGCATCGATCGCAGTTTTGAGCACAGGCGGAATTCCATCAAAGAGGTGGCGTGGATGCCCTCTCTTCGCTGCCTCCTTGGCGAAGTCGCATGGGTACCAGGGTATGCCAATGGTCATGCGAACCTGAGAGACACTGCTAGGAGCAGACGGCACTTTCGAAAAGGCAGACGTCCAAGGCAACGGAAACCCGCAGGACCACAGCGTTTGCTCCTGCGTTGGGGAGAGATCATTTTGCACAACCGCCGAATAAGCAATGATCGACCACCTGTCGCCGACCCACGGCAGGGTAGCATGCCTTGCACGACCATCGAACCGGCACGGTCCCAAGTTGAGAGCTAGACAGTCTCCCCACAGCCATTCGCCTGTGCACGGGTCCTCAAAGGCATGGGCCCCGCCTTCTGATTCCACAAAGAGTTCGCCTCCGGAGTAACCTCCCAGGCCGATCGCAAAGTTCATGGTTCCCGGCACATTTGCCGAGTCCACGTGCAGTGCCGAGGACTCGTTGTGAGTGACGACGAAGGCAGACCACGATGCATCCGGGAAACGTTGCAGCATAAAGGCATTTATGAAGGCAGCTGTGCTAAGGTGCTCACCTGTGAGTTTGGTAACTCCCTTCCTCGGCAAGCACTTGTAGGCGCCCAAAACAAAGTATTCCACAGGTCGGCCGTCCTGAAGAATGCCCGCACGCCTAGCTTCCAAGGGGGTGTTGAATGCTTGCTAAAGCACCTGAACACACATTTCAGAAGACAAGTCACCCTTGCACAAAGCATCCACGGCCAGAGAGGACGGGGTGCCACTGGAATCAAGAGAAGAACCGCCCTCCTCAATCCCCGCGCAAGGGAGGGCGCAGAGAACACGTGATTTAGCAGGCAAGAGAGGATAATGCGGCTGGCACTGAACGCCTGCGCAGGGCAACCAAGGCTGCTGTAACACGGGCCCTGAAGGAAGCAACTGCGCTGGACCCTGCAAGACGCAAATGGCTTTGTGTTCTGGCAGAAGAGGAGGTACCCGTTTGCCGCGCGGTTGCGTGCCAGAAGCCACCCTAGCTTGTAGATGAATATCAGAAAGACCCGGCAAGGCTTGCGCAGGTGGCAGAGAGCCAGCCGCGCCAAGAGCATGCTGCAAAGCCTGCGCATACGCTCTACAGAAGGGAGCAGGGTATGTTGTGACCGACTCCCTCGGCGCAGAATGCGCCGGGTGCAACGAAGTATGATCACATGGGAGTTGCAAGGCCTGAAAGGCATCATGGAAGTGTGCAATGCAAAGCTGACGTTTGAAGGTAGCCCCGAACATGCAAGTGTGAAAAGACGAAAACTGCAGTGTGACAATCGACGAAGATGCATCCAGCCAAGCACTGCTTTGCCAGAAATGGCTGGAGGCTGGGTTTTCCAGAGTGGCAACAATGCCTGTCTGGAAAGCCTGAAGGAAAAGGGTTGATGCCAATGCAAAGAGACGATTGTACAGCTCAACTTTGGCTTGATTGGGTGGGGAAAGGTCGGGCAGGCCGTCCGGAAACGCGTGTGAGCGAAGTGGCGGACTGCCACGACCTGGGAGGGCTGCAGGCGGCGCCAAATGCACCGCAGCCAAGGCCCGATTGGAAAGCAGCAAAAAGAGCACTCTGACATCCTCATCAAGCGCGAGGTCCAATTTGACCACGGGCGCTGGAGCTGACTTGGGTGTCCACGCATCGATGCCGAAGACACTGCCCACGCCACACGCATGGACAGCACCTGACAGGCGAGCTGAACCCGCGAAAACTTCCACAAAAAGCAAAGACTGAAGGGGCCTGCCGCGAACACGCTCTTGCAGGGCCTGGAAGAAGGACTCGGCTGAGTCGACAACGCGTGCCTGCGGCAGGCCTGGCTCTCAGGCTTTGGTGGGATGCTTGTGCTTGCCCTTGCCCTTGCCTTTCGGAATGGGCTGGGGCGGCGTAGGCGGCAGAGCATTGTGCGCATGCGGAGCAGGAGGCTTGGGCGGGAAGGCATGAGATGGGGGTGCAGACGCGAGTGCCAGGGCTTCCTGCAGACGCTGCTTTTGGCGTTCACGGCGCGCCTTGGTGCGGCTCTTCTTGGTCGGGTTGGGTGGGTCGGTGCTACCATTGGGCGTCGCCATGACCTGTGAAGCAGAAGGGCGCTTGCTCTGGCCACCCGCGGGCAGCGGCATGAGGAACATCATGACATCGGTAGCCGTGGTGAGGGCTGCAAAGAGATCATCCATGGGCAAGCTCCCATCTGCACGCTTTTTCAAGGAAGTGCCTTTTTCGGCCATGTACGTCCATGCCGCTCTGTCAGCCCTTAATATTTGCATGGTATCCACCTGCTTGTACTCCATGGGAGGTGCCTGCTGCAAATGTCTCAGAAGCTCGGCGTGCCACCGTTCGGAGGCTGCAAACGTTGCGGCTTCACACAAGTCAAGCGCGAGAGACCTTCGAGTCAAAGCCTGACTTAAGCTGAGTGCATCAGGGAGATGACACGTGTCGGCAAGCTCAGCAGAATCACGCACCTTGATGGCAGACGATGCATCAATGATGACTTCTTTGGGAGGTTTGGATTGCTGAACCTCATGAGCCCGAGTGGTGAACCGATTAGGGGCGAGGTAAGTAATTTCATCAGTGGCCAGCATGCGAATGACAAGTGTGTAGCAGCTGAAAGAGCATTCCAACGGACCGCGGAGCGACATACCGGCCAGACGGCGTGCTTGCTCTTCTAGTCGGAACCTCCTTTCGGCGGGCTGAAGGTCTTGTCGCTTCTCGTCCGGCCCCTCGATCTGCTGACGCAGCTGGCTTACTGCAAGTGTCTGTGCTTCGAAGATTAGGCGCCTAGCAATTGCAACCTGACCCTGCTCAACAGTGGCAGGCGACTCTGGATTCAGAAAGGCTCGCAGAGCATCTTCGGCGGGTACAACACCCGGGGCCCCCACAGCATATGCAGCCTTGCTAAGAGTGTCGACTCCACGTCTTACAATGGCCTCGAAGACAGTATTGGTCAAGCCATACTCCAACACCTTGTTTTTGAAGGCAGCTTTCGAATCCAAGAGTGAGGCACCGGACATGCTGGATCTTAGGCGTCTACGTCTGACCCATGCACTGAGCTACACTTGAGATGAGCAAGCCGAGCGTTTAGATAGCTGAGCCATGCACGACAACACATAAGCCCGCAGGAGTGCTCCAGTTTTCCTGTAACCACTTCTCGAGCGAATGCGGACCCCGGCGTGCCCGAGGCTGGGTGCTGCTGGCTCTCACCACAGGGAGCGCACAGCGTCACCGAAAATGTAAGACAGCACACTCTAACCCAAGCATGTTCCAGCTCCTGTAACCACTGCTCGAGCGAATGCAGCAACCCCCGGCATTGCCGAGGTTGAGATGCTGCTGGCTCTCACCACAGGGAGCGCACAGCTGCACCGAAAATGTTTGCAAGAGCGGTGACATCTGGGTCCTCATGGAGCACACGCCGAGCGGTTCACACGGGTCCACACGAGTCACTCGTCGGCACACTCTAACCAGTGCGCCGCCTCTTGTCAAGAACATGCACAAGTTGTGCCGTGCTTCTGATGGTTTTACCACGATCGCACTGCACACACTTCAGAGAATCGACAATCGGATGCCCAGTGGCTCGGAAGTAGGCTTGCGACTTGACCCTCCCGCACACGAAGGACCCTGACTCTGCATCGGCCTCTGGGAGCAGATGCACGGTTCTGCTTTGCCTGTGCTGCCAAACCTGGCAAGCGTCTCGCCAAACTGGCCGTTCAAGAGCGGCAAGGTGCGGGCCAGGTTCCGACTCCACCTCCGTGTCCGTCGATGAAGAGCTCGTCGAACTGGATGACGACTCGTCGAGTGCGACATCCTGAGCAGGATTGCTTCCATGGAAGCTCGGGCTCGGGGCCGGGTGCTCAATGGCATCAGGCTCGAAGCCCTCAGAGGCATTGGCATCATTGTCTAAGTCGCTTTGGTCGGCCGGTGCCCCGAAAGAGAGCTCAGCCGGGTCAAAGCTCTTGTTCGCTTCAACATCACTGGAGCCAATGCCACCCTGCGGCTCGGTTGATCCCTCACAAGACGGTGACTTGTCAGGCATATCAGGGAAATAACCACTTCGAGAAACGTCTGGCAAGAAGGATCCGGTGCGAATCGCCAAAATGCACGCTTCCAGATCTCTCAACGGTGCGGCAAGTGTGTCTCTCCCGTAACACTCTGCAGATCCACGATCATTGTGATTGCCCAAGCGAGTCCTCGTATCTTTGGAGATGCCGTACTTGGCCGCCCATGATAAGCAAGTTGCCTTACACGAGTGAGCGCCTAGCGACGGAGCCTCGACATGCCCAGCATTCTGAAGAATCTGAACCAGCCAAGCCCTCGCTTCAGTCGTCGAGCAACTCGACTCGAGCCACCCGCCTTGGCTCGGGAGTGGCAACAATGGTCCTTTGGCACCTCCTTGAAACCGTTCAAGAGGGAGACCCACATCAGTGGCGATGGACCGCCACGACTCGACCCAACTTCCTATGGTGGCACCCTGAACCGGGGCAACCAAAGGGATTGAAGGAAAATGGCGCCGCATCTTGTGCGACCAAGAGATGACCTCGATGTACCCGACAAGCTCGCCACTCTTCGTGACGATGTCAAAGACTGCATCACTGATGATTTTGCAATCGCCGAACCTCGCCCTCGAAAAGATCAAGAACAAGAAGCACCCTGCCGCGTAGAGGTCTTGCAATGCTCCCACTCTGCGTTTGACGAAAGCCTCGAGTGTTGCAACCTCTCCGACCGTGAGCGGCCGAGCCTTGGCAGTGGGCTTGGCATTCGCCGCGGCCATCCGTAGCACCCCGCGAATCCAAGGTGAATCGCCTGCATTCTCAGCAACGGGTAGGCCAACAACATGTCTGAGGAACCCCACCATCTCCAGCACGCCTTTGATGCGAGAGGCAGGTGCCTTCTCTTCCACCAGCTTCTTCAAATACATTCGGCATGCATGCTCAGTCATAGGAAATGGCGTAACACTCGCAAGTAGGGCCCATGCCAGGAATGCTTTCACTTGCCTCAGCCGCTTCTCCAGTGTCGACAAGGCCTTGCCTCCAAGGGTTTGCGTGACAACCGCAAGCTTCTCAGTTTGGTCGGCTGCAGCAGACACCATGAGGCCGAGCACAGTTCCATCGCCAGCCCATGGAAGGATCACTTGAAGCCACTCCTGGTACACGAGATTGAACCGATCTCGCTCAGGGAGGCGATCACGTCTGAATGTATCCTTGTTCCATGCTGCAGTGAAAGCTTTCTTATCACCTGGGACAGTTTCCGACGGTTCAGGCCCCAAAGGCCGGACAGATGCAGTGTCAATGACATCTTCGATGTCTAGCGCGGGCCTAGGCAGCACTTCCGGTTTCCCAAAAATGGCCGCCAGCGGTCCTGTCTCCCAAGGCAAAGTAAGGGCAGCGATACTCGGCGCCGTCGTCAGGGCCTCGACAGACATGCGGCGAAGCCTGTCCCTGGCACCTTGATCAAAGTCACCACCCCCAGCCATCACACCGAGTTGAAAGACTCTTAATGCAGCTTGATCCTGAAAACTTAAAGCAAGCAGTCAAGCATGAGGAGTGAGCCTGCAGATTCCCCTAGCAAAACAGGCGACAGTTTGTAGCATGCCAGCAGCATCACACGTGAAGAGCCCAGGCTCGGAAAATCACAGTGACCTACGCCAAGCAGATCACTGATTGCTGCACGGCTCCAGCCCGCCTCGAAGATGCAAGACAAAACTCGGAGCGAGGCCGCAGCAGCTCAGGGCACAAGTTAGGGGTCCGCCGGAAAGCTGGGCATCGGCTGTGGCACAGGGTTGGGGCAGGAATTAGGGAACCAAAAAGGGGCACCTTAGTCGCAGCCAGGGGCAGGGCGCAACGGTGGCACCTGCAGATATTGCATGATGTGCTGCAGGAGTGCGTCAACACGACGCAACCGCCGCTCGACCTCGTCAATCCTGTGGCTTGCCAGCATCTGTTGCTCCGCGGCAACGCGGCGCAACGCAGCAACTTCCAATGCAAAATCGCTAAGCTGACTCTGTTGCTGTTGCAAAAGATTCTGCAAGTACTGAACATGTTCCCCTGGCAAAAGGTGAGGTTGGGTGAGAGGCACTGCAGGTAAGAAGCTCACGCGGGGCCGCACAGTAAGATGCCCAAGCTGAGCAGGGACAGTATGAAGCCTCTGCGAAACCCTGGGCCTGCGGCGAGAATCCGAGCGACTCCTGGAGGCAAGCCTAGCACGGCGGCTTGCACGCGCAGCTGAGACCGCATGTGTATCCGCAGCACTATCAGTGAAATCTTCAATTGGATCGTCCGCCAATTCAGGGCGCTCAAAGCCTGTTGGGTGCGACCAAGGATCGGCAGAAGCTCGTCGCATGTTATCAAGCAAATCCGAAAACATGAAAGCTGGGTGAAAGCCCCTCAAAGCAACTGCTGCTGTCGCGAAAAACAGCACGCAAAGATGTCCCACCACGTGGAACAGGCCGGAGGAGCAGCCTGACGAAGGTCAGCCAGATCAGCTTCTAATTGACGGATTCGACGCTCGCAAGCACCGACGTGAGCACTAAGCGTCCGCAACTGCAAGTCCAGCTGATGCACGTGCCGGCTAACTAAAGAGACAGTAGAGGGTGACTGGCTAGCAGAGCGATCAGAGGAGTCAAGGTCGACTCCCCAAATCGTTTGGCCTTGCATGCAACAGGCCTAGGAGCACACCAGCCAGAGCGAGAACTGTTCCCCGTGGGTACTAAGAACGTCGCAGCTGGCACCCGCTACAGGCAAAATTTTGCCGGCACTCCCTCCTTGAGAGAGTAGTTGCTGCACGTTCGAGCAGTTCACAAAATTTTGCAACCACCAGGAAATAAAACATGTGTGAAAATCGTGAGACCACAATGCCAAGACCATGTGAGAAAATCTGTCTGCGCGCCCGACATGAGAAATGTACGTGCGCGCGTGAAATGATGTGGCGAAATAAGGTGTTCGCCAGGCAAGCTGGAGATAGCACTTCTTTCGGACGCACTGTGAGTGAGCACAGCTAGCGAAATAATTTACAGTATAGCGCAGTGGCCATACCGGCAACTCAAGGTTGCGGTTCTAGCAGAAATCCCGTGGCGAACCACAAGCAGATTCCAAGCCTCGGCACGAATGCCAAGCAGGCTGGAACGTACTACAGAGGTGTGAAAAGTAGCTAATCCAAAAACTGACATGCCACCGTAAGCACATGCAGCACTACATGATGCATCACGTCAGTCAGGACAGCACTCACTCAGAAGTTGAAATGGCATGAAAGTAATTTGCATTGCACTGCCATAGCTCCCACTGCACAGTAAAAGCTCGCAGAAAGTTGTATGCGGTATCACGCCAATCGGATGCACCATAAAAGATACATGTTGCACGAAATGGCATGCACGTCCCCCGCAAGAACTGGAGCAGCTTCGCAACCATCATCAGTGTACAAGGCACCGTTGTATATGGATGTCATATCTTCCGCATGCTCGCCAGTTCCTAGTGCGTCCTCAGATGAGCTCTGAGCCATCAGTACCGCACGATAATGACCTGTTGACGGTGTGTTTCCCAAGTGCACTGAAATAGCAACGACACGATAACAATGGTGTGTATGATTTGCTGCGCCTGGTCGCTCCCGAGATGGTACGTGGACCCTGCCATTCCCCAGCATAACCTGATGCATGAGTTTGCGAATCCGGCGATGTCCATGAAATCTCAATATCTGTACGCACAGCAGGGACGGAGCCTCAAAAATAAGTCGCCGCATGCCTTCCCCAGCATTTGACCAGCGATCTATCAGCGCCTGCAAGGTAGTCGGATGCATACTGTTTGTATTGTCCAAGTGCACCAACATCGGCCCATGGAAATCACCAACATCGCGTACCTCCCCAGCCGCCGTAATCATATGCCAAGCGCCCTGCATGGAATCCGGTCGAGCCTGCTGCATAACATGTGTCATGAACTCTCCAATGTCATGCTGTCGCTGAGGCTGGCGCCACTGCTGTATCAATGAGGTCCACATCAAACACCTGTTCATTATGACACGCCGCACA